CATATTTTCTATTCTATTCCATTCCATTCCATTCCATTCCATATTTTCTTTTCTATTCTCTTCTATTCTTCTCTTCTATTCTATTATTATTTTCTATTCTATTCTATTATTATTTTCTATTCTATTTTATTCTATTCTATTATTATTTTCTATTCTATTCTATTCTATTCTATTATTATTCTATTCTATTCTATTCTATTCTATTCTATTCTATTCTATTCTATACTTGTAGTCAGCTGCAGGTTTGGGAGCGTTCTCCAAATCCTTCCTGGAAGGGCGAATTCTTCTTTCCATTTTCCCTGCACTTGGCTCTTGTTCCGTCCGAGAACCTCAGAGGAGAAAACGAGGAGAATCTGTCCAGATCTGCATAGTTTTTTCCTGCTTTTCCAAACCAGCTGGTCTTTCCTTCTTGGGTCTCCACCCTCTTTTGTGGCCTTTCCGTTCTGTTGTTGGCTCTGCTCCCTTCTTGTCCTGCCTGGATTTCCCTCCTTCTAGTCTGGCCTGGATTTTCCCCGTTCAGAACCAACTCCAGCTAAATCGCTCTGGCTAAAGTGTACGGCTCCCCAGGACGTCGATCGGCACTGCTGGGAAAAAAGAAAAAGCTGGGTGCAAGGGAGGCATCGGTAAATTCAAAGTCTCATTCTCGGTCTTGCACTTCTCTGAGCTTGGCTGATCTCAAGGTTGGATCTAATGCATTGTTAATTGTTGAATGGGGGACCACCAGGAGAGACGAGGAGTTCGGAAGGATGAAGAACATAGGAGGCAGCCATCAAAGAAACATTGCCTTAGCCCAGAAAGATAGGAGAAACAATGGATGGAAACTGATCAAAGAGAGAAGCAACCCGGAATTAGGGAGAAACTTCCTGACACTGAGAACAATCAACCAGTGGAACAGCTTGCCACCAGAAATCATGGGCGCTCCATCACTGGAGGTTTTTAAGAGGAGACTAGACATTCACCTGTCTGAGATGGTATAGGTTCTCCTGCTTGAGCGGGAGGCTGGACTAGAAGACCTCCAAGGTCCCTTCCAGCTTCTATTCTATTCTATTCTATTTTACTCTACTCTACTCTACTCTATTCTATTCTATTGCAGTGCTTTTTTTGTAAAAAAAAAAAAAGGTGCTGGAACTCACACACCTTATGCAACCCTGCCTTGCCTACCCTACAAGGTTCCATCCAAAAAAAGTGCCGGAACTCTGTTCTGAGCGTTGTATGACAAAAAAAGCCCTATTCTATTCTATTCTATTTTCTATTCTATTCTAATCCATTCCATTCCATTCTTTCTCTATTCCATTCCATTCCATTCTATTCCAGTATCTATTCTATTCTATTCTATTCTATTCTATTCTATTCTATTCTATTCTATTCTATTCTATTCTATTCTAATCCATTCCATTCCATTCTTTCTCTATTCCATTCCATTCCAGTATCTATTCTATTCTATTCTATTCTGTTCTGTTCTGTTCTGTTTTCTATTCTATTCTATTCTATTCTTTTCTATTCTATTCCATTCCATTCCATTCTTTCTCTATTCTATTCTATTCTATTCTATTCTATTCTATTCTATTCTATTCTATTCTATTCTATTCTATTCTATTCTATTCTATCTCTATTCTATTCTATTCTATTCTATTCTATTCTATTCTATTCTATTCCAACCAGAATTCTGGGAGTTGAAGTCCACAAGTCATAAAAGGGCCACGTTTGAAGACCCCTGCACCAGAGTGTTCATCCCTAAATGAACCAAGACGCCTTCTAAAGCTCTGTCCATCCCCACGTTTGAGTTTTCCAGACTTGATTTATCTTCCAGTCCTTGAGAAGGGTCAGTGTCCTGCCATTTGGAAACACTGTTTTAGGAAGTGAGTGCTGGAACCAAGTTGTCATCTCCTTAAGCTTTGTGCTGTTCAGTTCACAAGCCATGCTTATGTAGGAACTGACCTTTGTTGTGACATGTTTTAAGAAATCTGTTGGTCTTGCCTTTGACTGGAAAAGCCGTGGGAGAACAGTCTCTGCTTGAAGGCATCTTCTATCAGAAGAGGGATCTAATCTGAAGACCGATACAAAGACTGAGATATGGAAGTAAGCCATCATAGGGCAAGCTGAGGTGGCACCCAATATTCTTGGCAGTTGTCTTCTCTTCCAGGAATAAAACACATATCAGATTTCTATCTCGACTGGAGTCATGTGATAAATATTTGCATCTTTGCCTAGATGATGGGATATGCAAATATTAAGCAAACCAGTTTTCTGTATCCTCTTTAGGGCTTGGATTGTGTTTGATTGTGTTCTATTTCTTCTTATTTGCCAATGGATAACCAGCTAACCTACACGTGACCAATAGCATACTTTCTGCATTTTTTCTCAACAATCCAGTTTTCAGTCCCTCCCTTCTTAAGAATAGTCTCCTTGAACTTTGGGTGACTTCAGAAACATCTCCATGCAAATTTCTTGGCAACCATAGACAAGTGGCTTTCTTCTTCTTTTTTTTTTTTTTTTTTTGAGATATTGGTTTGACTTAGTCTAGCCTACAGCCTTGGACTGCAAGGCGATCAAACCGATCAGTCCTAGAGGAGATCAACCCCGACTGCTCTTTAGAAAGCCAGATCCTGAAGTGGAAACTCAAATACTTTGGCCACCTAGTGAGAAGGAAGGACTCAATGGAGAAGAGCCTGATGCTGGGAAAGATGGAGGGCAAGAGAAGAAGGGGACGACAGAGAATGAGATGGCTGGATGGAGTCACTGAAGCAGTAGGCGTGAGCTTCAATGGACTCCAGAAGATGGGAGAGGACAGGAAGGCCTGGAGCAGCGGTTCTCAACGTTTGTGTGACGGCAACCCCCGTCACACAAACATTATGCGCATGCGCGGCGCGGCACGCATGGGGGCGGGGGCCCCGCGTGCGGCGCGCTTGCGCTGCGCCGCCCCCACGCGCTGCGTGCATGCGCGGCGCCACCCCCTGGAGGCGCGGCACCGCCCCCACGTGCGGCACGCATGCACGGCGGCGCCCCCCAGAGGCGCACCGCCGCCCCCACGCGCAGCGCGCATGCGCGCCGCCGCCCCCAGAGGGGACAAAATGGCGGATCGCCACCTTTGGCGACCCCCGGAAAGAGGTCGATCGACCCCAAATGGGGTCGCGACCCATAGGTTGAGAACCGCTGGCCTGGAGGAACGTGGCCCATGGGGTCGTGATGGGTCGGACATGACTTTGCAATTAACAACAACACAGCCTTGATGGTCTTCTTCATGGCCCGAGATCAAGTCCAGACAAGATCAGGCACCTTCTGCCCTTAGCTGAGATCACCCCATTCGTTCATCCTATGTCTAATTTGTCATAAAACTTTCCAGTCATTTAGCTAGCTGGGCATTCATTAAAGTGCAGGTAAAATGACACTGGAAGACAGGAGTAAGAGATGGGGAGACAGGGGGAAGAGGGAGAGGAGAGTGAGAGGGGGAGAGAGAAGAGGGGGGAGTGAGAGGGGGAAGAGAGAGGGTGATGGGGAGAGGGGGGAGAGAGGGGGGGAAAGTGGGAGAGGGAGAGAAGGGAGAGAGATGGGGGAGAGGAGAGAGAGAGAGGGAGGAAGGGGTTTATGTATAACACAGCCCAAGGCCCCTTCCAATATTAATTAGGGCAACCAGCTCCAGGTCTAAACAGGTCATCCTCAACTTACGACCACAATTGAGCCCAAACCTGTTGCTAAGTGAAACATTTGTGGAGTTTTGCCTCATTTTTTTCTTGCTGCAGTTGTTAAGTGAATCCCTGCAGTTGGTAAATTAGTAACACGGTTGTTAAGTGAAACAGGTTTCCTCATCAAAGTTTGCAAAAGGGGATCACATGACCCCGGGACACCGCAACAGTCATAAATAGGAGTCAATTGCCAGTTTTCATCATGTGAACATGGGGAAGCTGTGAGGGTGGTGTGAAAAACAGCCATAGGCCACTTTTCCCCCCTGTGATGTTGTAACTTTGAACGGTCGCTAAATGAACTGATGTAAGTCGAGGACGGCCCTATATTAACTATTAAGCCCAGCCAAGGCAGGCAGGTCTTGGCTGGCCTTACAGCCGGTGGGAATCCACTCCGCTGTGGTTCAGTCAGGGGAGCAAGGAGGGATTAAATCCTGGTGGGCTCAGGGTGCAAACTGCCTCCTGGTCCAGAGCAGTGGTTCTTAACCTGGGCGATATTGCCCCCCAGGGGGCGATTTCATTTTTCAGGGGGGCGAAGGAACGAAAAAGGGGCGATATGGGGGCGATGGAGCAAGAAGTTTTAGGGACACTTTTGTGACTTTTTCATACAGTGAATTGCTGTATATCTGTCGTACAAAAACATCAGATCGCTTGCTATTAGTGGACTGAATTGTGTTTTTAAAGGTTCCTCCAGCTAGCTTCAGTACAGAACGCCGTACATATGTGAATATGCATCGCTTATCTTCATGCGCGTTGCGCAGCAGCCTCTACCCATACAGTGGCGCGCCATTGGCCAGAATATGGGAGATATGGGGAAAAGACTGGAAATAAATGATTTGCATCGATAGGTCCTGATGACAATTTTAAAGAAAACAGAAAAAGGGTTTGCATAAATGAAAGAATTGTTTCCCATGTTGTGACTGAGAGGTTGTGTTGGGGGAGGGGGGCGATGACAACTTCCTCATTGGCTCAAGGGGGCCATTCGTTCAAAAAGGTTAAGAACCACTGGTTTAGACAACGTGGGAACTGAGCCCCTGCCTCTGGCCACCCTTGCTTGACGGCTCAGGTGGCAACCGGCAGTCCAACCCTGGATGGCGCAAACAGAAGAGAATAGCAAGAGTCGGAAGGGACCTTGTAGGTCATCTAGTCCAACCCTCCAAGCAGGAAACCCTGCGACACCATTGCGACGTACAAAAGGTACTTTCCAGCGCCCGAGGAGTAAGCCGCGAAGGGGAAGGAGCGCCCAGGGGGAAGGGGCTTTTCCTGCACGGCCCCCGCCTCTTCTGCCCCTTCCCCGGAGAAGCGTCGTCGGAAGAAGCCGCCGTGCCCGTGTCCCAGCAGGCGGGCGCCCGAGCCAGCGGCACTTAGGCGCGCAGCAGGGCCGGCCCGCGGAGGGCGAGGCGAGGCGAGCCCCGGCGCTTTCACACGTGCTCGTCTTTGTTGACAGGGCTGGGCCCGGCCCGGCGTCACGTGCCCCGACGGCCGGCCTCGGGCTCGCAGCTGCGCGGGTCTCCGCTCAATGCCGCGACTTCCTGCCTGCGCTGCAACAGCGGCGGCGGCTGCAAGCAGGAGGGCGGCGGCGGCGGCGGCGATCGGCGCTCCGGTTCCGCGGCGGGGTCCGGGCGGGCGGACGCCGCCGCCTGTGTGGCTGCGGGTCGGGCGTGCGCGTGCGTCCCCGGGGAGCGGCGACGGGCGAAGATGAGCGCGGGGCACGTCGTCTGCACCGGCTGGCTGATCAAGTCGCCCCCCGAGAAGAAGCTCAAGCGCTACGTGAGTCGGGGGGCCGCGGGGGGGGGCTCCCCTCACCCATCCCCCACCCCCACCCCCGTCTCCCCTGGCCTTGCAAAGGCTCTCCCCCTCCCCGAGGAAGGGCTGGCGGGGGTGCGGGTCCTGCTGGGGCTTCCAAGCGGGGCTTGTGCGAGCTGGGTGGGTGGGTGGGTGGGTGAGTGGGTGGGTGCGTTCGTGGGAAGGCGAGCGTTGCGCCCCCCACCCCGCACTCCAGCCTTCTGGTGGGGGAAACGGCCGCTTGGGAAGCGGAGGAGGCTTTTTGCGCGCGGGCGGGCTTCCAGGCTTCTCTTACCCCGCTGGCTTCCTTCCCCCCCCCCCAGCCCTCTCCTCTTTTCCCCGGCCCCCTCCCCGCCGCCCAGCCCGGGGTCCGCGAGCGCCTTTTGCCCGTTACGCAATCCGGAGCAGGAGGCTTTGTTTTGGAACGAGACGCCTCCCAGCCCGGCTGGTGTTGCAAGCCGAGGCTGTTGCCTCGCGCTCCGCTTGGGGAGGGGGACGGACGGGTGGGTGGGTGGGATGTGCCCGTCCTCTCCCTCCCTCCCTCCTTCCCGTCCTCCCCGACGGGCCCGGCTTGCGAAAGTTGCAGGACCGCCAGAGGGTTAGGATGAGTGGAGGGGGGGGCGCTGGAGGGTGGGGGGCGAGCCGGACCGATGAAGACCCCAAAGGAGAACTTGGAACCCTCGCGGTCCGCAAAACGTGGTTGGTGGAGGGCGGTGGGGCAGATGTCGCGGAAGCAGCCCTTCGGACGTGCAACGAAAACCCGAGAGTGCAAGCCGTGATCCCACTCGCCTAACCCCTGAAAACGTGTGGATGGGGTGATTGGTAGAGTTTGGGGGGGGGGAGGGAAGGAGGGAGAGAGATGCGTGTTGTGGCGACATCGGGGAGGGGTGTTTGCTTGGGGTCCGTGGAGGACCGGAGGAGGGTGGTGATGGGGGAATAGATTTCGGATTCTGACGTTACCCTTAGGCAGAAAGTTGAAAAGGAGATTGTGAGGAGGCAGAAGAGTTGAGAAGCAGCCGCGCGTTAAGCCTGGCTTGCTTTAATGCTTCTTCATGAAACCACCTGCTTTCCAGTACACACGCGCGCGCGCGGACACACAGAAACACTCGCTCTCTCTCTCACATACACATACACACATCCCTGCCCAAAACACTCTCTCTCTCTCTCTCTCTCTCACACACACACACACACCCCTGCCCAAAACACTCTCTCTCTCTCTCTCTCTCTCTCACACACACACGCACGCACGCACACACACACACACACACACACACACACACACACACACACACACACACACACACACCTGCCCAAAACGCACCGTCGCGTGTGATTGGTATAGTCCCCATTCGGATGAGTTGGCAGCCAGCGACGCTGCTGAGTCGCCCTTGGCAGCTGGAAAGCCCCCCGCCCGCCAGAAGGGGAAGGGAAGGGAAGGGGAGGGGAGCGCTGTTTTGCTCAGGCGGGGCTGCAGCAGCTGGCCCGGCCCGCCCGCCCGCCCGCCCGCCTCTGGACCAAGCCCGTCCGTCAACAGGCCGTCGAGCGGGGCCGGAACCAACGCCTTTCCGGAGCCTGCTCTCCGTGAGGCGGGCCGCGTGGGCCCTCTTCGGCCCAGTTTCCCCCCTCCTCGCTCGAGCCCCTCCGGAGCTCCCCACTGGGCAGCTGCCAGCACCAACGTGGGTCCTGTTCCCCTTTAGCAGGCTTGCACGGGTGTGTGTGTGTGTGTGTGTGTGTGGAGAAGAGTGGAAAGCACACGGAGACAGGTCCGGGAAGATGAGGGTTCATCGTCTGGAGCCCCGTGGGAGATTCCCTGGAGGAGGCCCGGGAACGAGTTGCAGGTGGCAGGATGCACAGCATTCCTGGATGCCGTTTTTGGTCCCTTTGCGCTACAAATCCTGCAGATTCGCCTCCACCCGGAGCTTCCCTCCTCCCGGCTTACGTTTTCCGCCCTTCCTTTTTGGAAACCTGGGAAATGAAAGCAATAGGGAGGCCGCGATCCCAGAGAAGGAGCTGTGTCCCCCCCCCCATCCAGGCGTCAGGGTTTCGGGGCCCCTTCTCCCCCCCCCGCTCCCCATGGCTTTGGATGCTTGTAGTGTATCAGCGACTTGTTTAACACCCCCCCCTCACACACACACACACACACACACAAACACACACACACACACACACACAGCCCCGCCTTGGCGAACACTTTAAATAACTATTGCAGCCAGTCTCTGGGGAGCCTCGTATAAATAGCTATCTCTGGTATCTTTGGATTTTGTTCTAGCTGCTGAAGGCTGAGACTCCCCCCCCCAGCCTGTTCTCTTGGACAAAATGCTCGAAATGCTGCGTTTGGACACAGATTTGTGCCTAAAGAGCGGGTCCATTGACAGGATGGGTTGGGTTGCTGTATTGGAAGAAAGCTTTGGGTAGAAATCCTTCTTCTTTTAATCTAACCAACCGCCTTCCTTTCTGGCTAGGCTGCCCTTGGGGTTGGGGCTCAGAGAGGACAATCCAAGGGCTGTTGCCGATGCTGGAATGGGCTGAGCCTGGGTGGGGAACCGTGGCTCAGCTGCAGAGGGCATGCCGTGCATGCAAAACACCCGGATTCAAATGCTCCAAGCAAGGCGCCAAAGATGTCTTTGTTTTTTTGGCCAAAAAGGCAACTGGACTTTTTTTTTTTTTGATAGAATAACCAAGTTAAAAGGGACCTTGAAGGTCATCTAGTCCAGTGAGGCGAACCTTTTAGAGACTGAGTGCCCCAAAACTGGCCCCGCCCCCACTCCACCCCCCCTGTCCCGCCTGCTCACAGGACCACTCACTGCCTCCATGGCCTGCCGCAGATCGCCCCGGCAGCCCAGCAGCGCTATGGCGGCCACACTCTCTGCCCGCGCCCTGCAGCATCAACTGCATGATGGGGTGTGAGAGCAGAGTCTTGTCTAAGCTGCCTGGCTCTGTGTGGGCCAACTCTCCTTCAGGGGGGCTGCTGGAGAGGAGGGGGTCACGGTGGGGGGGGAGGCAAGGCTGAGGCAATGGCACATGTGCCCACAGAGAGGGCTCCAAGTGCCGCCTCTGGCACCCGTGCCATAGGTTCGCCACCACTGATCTAGTCCAACCCCTCTGCACAAGCAGGAGACCCTATACCATTTTAGACAAATGGTTGTCCAGTCCCTTCTTAAATGCCTCCAGTGTTGGGGCACCCACAATGTCTGAAGGCAAGCTATTCCATTGGTTAATTGCCCTCACCGTTAGGAAGTTTCTCCTTAGTTCTAGGTTGCTGCTCTCCTTGATTAGTTTCCATTGGTTGCTTCTTGTCCTGCCTTCAGGTGCTTTGGAGAACAGCTTGACTCCCTCTTCTTTGGGGCAGCCCCTGAGAAATTGGAACACTGCTATCCTGTCCCCCCTCATCCTTTTCTTCATTAAACTAGACATACCCAATTCCAGCAACGGTTCCTTGTATGTTTTAGCCTCCAGTCCCCTGATCATCTTCGTTGCTCTTCTCTGTACTCTTTCTAGAGTCTCAACATCTTTTTTTTTTTATTGTGGTGCCCAAAATTGGATGCACTATTCCATGTGTGGCCTTACCAAGGCACTATAAAGCGGTAGGATCACTTCTCGTGATCTCGATTCTATCCTTCTGTTAATTCAGCCTAGGATTGTTGTTGTTGTTGTTTTAAAAAAAGCTCTTAGCTTCTCAGCCAAGAAGCTTCTTCAGTTCTGAACTGAATTGAAGAAGTTTCTTAAACGAGAAGCTAAATGTCTTCAAAAGAAAAAAAAAAACAAGAAAGTCCATTTGTCATTTGGAAAAAGCACTTTTGCAACAACCAGGACCAACCATGATTGAGAAGCTGCCTAGACATATCTCTAAGCAAAAGATGAGAAAATTATTTGTATGCCAGAAATCCTGATGAAGAGTGGCTCGCTCTTTTGATGTCTGCAGATGCCTACTTTGGAGACTCATGATGTTGTATGTCTTGGTGGCGAACCTATGGCACGCGTGCCACAGGTGGCACGCAGAGCCCTCTCTGTGGGCACGCGCACCATCGCCCCAGTCCTAGGCCTTCAGCTGGGTTTTATAAAACCTTTTCGCTTTAGGCCTCCGCTGCTGTGTGCAAAAAAAAAAAAAGGTTCAATCAATCAATCAATTTCAACTTCTCGTGGGAAAAAAAAGTTCTCGCAAAGTTGGAATTGATTGATTGAACTTTTTAGTCCCATCCAGTCTGCCGTTACCACCGAAGCCACGCCCACCCAATGGGTCACACCCACCCGGCACTCAACGATGTATAAGTGGGTTTTGGGTTGCAGTTTGGGCACTCGGTCTCTAAAAGGTTCGCCATCACTGTTGTATGATGATACAGTCCTCACCTTATGGCTACACTTGGGACCAGAACTTCCATCGCTAAGCAAAGCGGTCATTAAATGAGTCATGCCTGATTTTACGGTCCTTTTGCTGCAGTTGTTAAGTGAGTCCCTGGTTATTAAGTGAATCATACACTCCTTGAGCGAATCTATCTTTCCCCATTGACTTTGCTTGTCGGAAGTTGACTGGGAAGATCACAAATAGGGATTATGCGACCCTGGGATGCCACACCTGTCCTAAACACATCTGGGTTGCCTAGGCCAGGGGTAGGCAACCTTGGCTATTTTATGACTCATGGACTTCAACTGCCAGAATTCCTGAGCCAGCCTGGCTCAGCTTGGAAACCTCTCCCTTTCCCCTCAGCATGGCTGGCTCAGGAATTCTGGGAGTTGAAGTCCACGAGTCATAAAAGGGCCAAGGTTGCCTACCCCTGGCCTAGGGTCTGAATTTTGATCACATGAATGCAGGCACACTGCAGTGATCATAAGTGTGAAGACTAAGAGGCAATGCGGTGTAATGGTTATAGACTTGGACTAGGAGTGGACCAGAAGGTTCTCTTTCCCCCTCAGTCATGGGCACCAGGTACACTGTCTCAATTCAGTTGACCTCACAGGGTTGATGTGTGGGGAAAACAGAAGGAAAA